GGTAGTGTATATATGTCCATGCCACTCTCTCACTTAGTCCCAGCTTACCCTTCCCCCTCCCCATATCCTCAAGTCCATTCTCTATGTCTGCATCTCCAAGTGGGATTTTAAAACAAGTAGTAATCCTTAGCCTAGAGAACACCATCAATTCCCGTAGGTTACAACGATAGCTCCTGGAGTTATGCAACCCCACAGCCCTGATGGAAACAGTGCAGAGCAGGAAGCAGAGAGAAGACCAAGAAGCAGAAATAACCACATGAAATTTCTGCCTTGACCATGTGGCTACAGATTCAGGTTCTATCATTAACGCTCCAAACGTCCTCAGCAACATAATAAAACATACTCATTGATATTTTTCTAAAACATTGTACTTTTTTCTACATGGCTTAATAAAACATGGACTCTGTGGTCAAAGCAAATGATTTGAGAGAGAACAAGACACTCCAATTAGCTGCTGAACATAAGTGCTGGTGAATTCAGTGGAGAATAACTTTCAGAAGAAAAGGGAAAATTCCCCATATCCAGTGTCTCTTAATTTTCAAACTACTTGAATTAAATAAACATAATGCAGGAATCATACGTTTTTCTGACAACCTTTACATGACAACTCAGGGAAAGATGACACTGACATTCCACGTCCCCCTTAGAAATCCCACATCTGAATTCATGATTTCGAATTAAGAAAGGAAATACTAATACATTCTAACATTATTTCCAGTACTGTATTTGTAACAGTTTAAATGTCTATACTCTGTCTACACTGCCTAACCATAAACTCTGGAGAATACTGTGAGAGTAAATCGGGTAAGCTAAAGGCATTCCATTTAACAAACTGGGCTCTTTAACACAAACTGACGCATTTCCGTACATATTTATAAGGCCTGGTGGTTATTATTAGGCTGTAATTGCAGTTGTTCTAACACCTAATAAGCCATGGTTGGAAAAACAAAGGCAGGTTAATTTGTGATTTCCTGTACTCATTCAGAGGCAAATTAAGTGTCAAACAGCTAATACAGAGCATATTTCATTTTCTGAGATTCTAATTTAATTCTGCACCATATCATTGACGCCTTAATATAGGCTGGTTTATCTAAAAAGAGGAGCAATTTACAAACCTCTTTCAATAGAATCATTAATGATAGCATACGATAGCATAATTATCGCAGTGTCTGCCATCCTAAACAGAGACCTGTTGGCGTTTCCATCATCAACACACATCCTGTTTCAAGAGACTTACAATTTAATTTTTGAAGTTGGCACCAGAAGAACAATCATGTGTACGAAACAATGAGAATATCCCCAAATGTTGTCTACTTCTAATTAAAAGTATTTATTGTAAAAACTCTGTAAGCTCACTTGATCTCATTTTCTAGCAGCTAATTATAAAACAAGCATTTTGGAATCCAACTTCTAGATAAAGTCATTTTATTTTTCCAGGCTACTGCATTAGCCCCTTGGCAAAGATGCCCTTTTAAGATTTTAGTAACCAAGCTACATTTGCCTAGATTACCCTCCACGCCTAAAATGATCTGATCACAGGCATATACATTTGCATCACAGAAGGTGCCAGAGCGAGCATCCCAGGGATTCAGGATTGAGCCAGGCCAGAACAGAATCTCAATGTTTGTCATGCCCGCAATTGTCGCCGTGCTAACTTTGATGCTAACTTTTGGCATTTGCTTAGAGCATCCTGCTTTCAAGGGTGCTCACGAGACCGCGCTTTCATTGAACTCCTGGATTTGCGATTTGGAGAGTCAGGTAAGGCAGGTAACTTCATTTCCACAGAATGAAACCAATATATGGAAATTTTAAGTTGCCAGTTCCCAGCACTGGCGAATGCAAAGCAAGATTGGGAGTCAAGCTCCCTGAGGGCTGGTCCACTGTTTCCCAGACTGGACACCTTGAAGGTCTACTGAGCATGCTTTACTAAGTGCCTGGCCGAGGGTTAGGCAACGCCTGCAAATCTAGCAGGGGCAGTGACCGCTAAACAATAATTGACCCAGGCAAGAGGATCTGGCTGCGATAAAGGCACACAAGTTTCTCTGAGGAACAGCCTCTGGGACAGCCAGCAGAGGTGATTTTGAATTAGGCCTTGAGGGTGAGGAGTTTGACCAGTGTTTGCCAAGGAGGGAGGGGAGACCACTGAGGGTAATACAGACAGAATGTCACATTATAAGGCACAGAGGTGAGACTGATCCTAGCTTCCCAGAGCCTACTCCAAAAGCTCAGTGTCTCCACCCAGGACCCCGCTACGCTGAGCAGTCCCAGGAGACCACAAAGCATGTGCTCAGCAGCTCTGTGCCCAGCAATGACATTCCCCTAGCACCTCCAGAGCGTGTGTTGGGAGGCTCAGGATTATCTACAAGCCTTACATCATGAATCTTTGGTAACTAAACATTTAGGCAGCTAGAGAACAATTTAGTCAATTGCTGTAAAATTATCCTAAAGCTTGGCTGAAAAAGCAGGAAGGACGACCATCCCTCGGTATCTGAAGGGCATTGGTTCCACAACCCTCACGGATACCCAAACCCGTGGATCCTCAAATCCCTTATATTAAATGGCATAGTGTTTGCATATAACCTATGAACATCCCCCTGGATACTTTAAATCACCTCCACATTACTTATAATACCTAATACAATGGAAATGCTCTGTAAATAGTTGCCAGTGTGCTGCAAATCTGAGTTCTGCTTTTTGGAACTTTCTGGAATTTTCTTCTCCAATATTTTCAATCCAAGGTTGGTTGAACCCTCAGATGCAGAACCGGAAGACACAAAGAGTTGACTATATTAAAATCTATAAAAATCCCTGCTCAGCAGTCCTGTAGAAAATGCAGCCCTCTCCCCTAGGATTCTCCAAACTTGACCTGCCTAATCCTGTGGTGTTTTTATCTCTAGCGAGCTAATTCTTTAGATACAGCAATTAGGGCCTAGAACATACAGTGTGATCTATACGAGGGCTTGCTGTTCTTACATTCTGCCAAAGAACCAAGACTTGCGATTTTTACTGATAAATTCATACGTGAATTTAATTACAAGGCAAACCATAATGAACGCAGAGGAAATAGTTTATTCCATCATATCAACTCATTTTTTGAAATTTCTCTATAAGATGATTTTTTTAAGAGTGAAGCACTCTGAAATCCCACAGAAAATCTGATTCATATTACTTCAGCACTTCAGAGACTGGAGTCTGGGAGAAATCAGCTGTCTGCATCTCCCAGGCCCGGTGGGCCCTTGCTGGCTGTGTACCACAGGGCAGATCCTCGTCTGAGATCCTTGTGGTCCCATCTGTACTGCAAAACTTTGGTAGAACGGGATGAATTCCATAGCAGGTTTCGGCCTGAAATTATAATTTCCTTCCCTTTGTATTAGGGGGCTTTAAATTGGCGTCCTGGTTTTATTTGAGTGTATTTTTAGCAGGCTTTAGAAGCCTGTAAATACTTACTTGTGTTCTAGTGAAAAGTCGAAGAATAAAGTCACAAGTTTCTGCATTCTCTCTCCCTAAATATCCACTTCTCCTTTAATGCTTATAGAAATCTGGACACAGATTTATGACTTACCTCCAGGCAAATCTGCTCTGAAATTACAATTCAGTAATGGGAGATAGATCCAAAAAACTGTGGCTAAACTATTATATGTGTACTTGGGCATAGAGTTAGGGTTGTTAATATCAATTAATTCTGTTCACAGAGGAGGACTTGTTTTAAAATAACTTCATTTTTCTTTGGCGTATATGTAATTATACAGCTGTAACTAAGAGCCATGGAGATGCAATCTACCAGCCAAATAACTAGCAGTATTCTTCAAAGTATTATTTGGGCTTTTCTAACTTTACTGTCTCAGAATGAAGGGTGATTATCAGATATGACTAAATGTAAAATCAAGGCCATTCATAAGGGTCAGCGGCTCCCAAAGATTGACTCCCCTTGTTGTAGTATATATCAGTTTTCTGGACAATTCTGCAAACGAAGACCATTTTAGTTTAGGTGAGGGCTATCCTGACTACCTGATCATCTTTCCCCCCTAACCTGAGTAAGATCACATTAATTTCCAGGATATTTTCTTCCTCCTTTTTTTCTTTTTTAATTTTTATTTTATATTGGAGTCTAGTTAATTAACAATGTCGTGTTAGTTTCAGGAGTACAGCAAAGTGATTCAGTTATACATATACATGTATCTATTCTTTTTCAAATTCTTTTCCCATTTAGGTTATTACAGAATATTGAGCAGAGTTCTCGGTGCTGTACAGTAGGTCCTTGTTGGTTATCTATTTTAAATATAGGAGCGTGCATATGTCAATCCCAAACTCCCAATTTATCCCTCCCCTGCACCTTTCCCCTTTGGTAAGCATAAGTTTGTTTCCTAGGTCTGTGAGTCTGTTTCTGTTTTGTAAATAAGTTCATCTGTATCATTTTTTTTAGCCTCATATATGATATTTGGCTTTATCTTCTTCCTTTTCTAATGTATGTTATCACCCCCATTCTCTCCTTTTATCTTTGTGTAAACTACGTGCTCGATCACATTTGCCATTTTGTTGGGTGACATTCCCATCAATCAGGTGACCGTTGGTGTACACACCACAGGGGCTATGAAAATTTCATTACGATGCATCCTGATTCCTGGAACAGGACCTTCCCGTAACAGAAATTGGAGCATGAAAAACTTCACACCCGCTCTCGACCAAATACATATCCTGAGTGGTAACCTTCCATTAGGCCCAATTTTTTAATTTAGTATTTACAGCCCACGGAACACATGTCAGCAAAACTATATAAGAAATACTTGCCAGCCACCTAGTGTGACAGGCATTCTTCAGGAAGCAGCGGGGATTTGCTTCAGTGAGTCCAGGAACATATAGGCTTGCTGTATTTCAAAAGTAAATCTTAGACTTCTATCACATCTTCAAAGACCAGTAGCTGTGCTGGTAACAAAAATCCTGAGATGGTGAAAGCCAGTATTTTGTGCTGTTTCTTTGACGGGTAAATTTGTAATACTTACACATGCAATGGAGGGATCGGAGACGGATCGTAATGGTAACGGCCCTCATGGTGTCTTGCATCAATTGGTACAGGAGGATGGAATGCAGGAAAGAGATGAGGAGGGTCTGAAAAAGAAAGAAAGTACAGCCTGTATAAATGGAACACTCTGAAACGGAATGCCAATCCATGAAACCACACTGCTAACACAGTCTTCACAACTGATGCCGAATCTACCTGAAGAATTTGTGGAAGAATTCTTTACAGTTCAGAACCAAGCAGATACTAACACCGGCACCTGAGGCAGTAAAGCCTCTGAATTGCAACTTGAACGCAGGCAGGAAAGCAAGAAAGAGAAACAACACGTGCTTCTACCCTGCAAGAGGCCGGCCAGAGGGCAAGGGCCGCCACAAAGCCAAGAGGAACAGACTCCAAGACACTTTTTAATTTTTATTTTTGGCCTCGCCACGCGGCTTGCGGGATCTTAGCTCCCCAGCCAGGGATTGAACCCCGGGCCCTCGGCAGTGAAAGCACAGAGTCCTAACCACTGGACAGCCAGGGAATTCCCCACTTTTTAATTTTAAAATGATACTGTCAAGTGAGTTTTGGACAAAGACGTAATATCACTACTGGCTTTCATTTCTCCCATACCCATGATGCTTTGTAAGGAAAAGAGTCATGTTCAAAAGTCCCTGCTAGGACAGGAGTAAAGATGCAGATGTACAGAATGGACTTGAGGACACGGAGAGGGGGAAGGGTAAGCTGGGACGAAGTGAGAGAGTGGCATGGACATATATACACTACCAAACGTAAAACAGATAGCTAGTGGGAAGCAGCCGCATAGCACAGGGAGATCAGCTCGGTGCTCTGTGACCACCTAGAGGGGTGGGATAGGGAGGGTGGGAGGGAGACGCAAGAGGGAGGAGATATGGGGACATATGTATATGTGTAGCTGATTCACTGTGTTATAAAGCAGAAACTAACACACCATTGTAAAGCAATTATACTCCAATAAAGATGTTAAATAAAACAAAGTCCCTGCTAGAATCCATGGCACGTGTACACACACACACACACTTTTTTTGGTACGCGGGCCTCTCACTGTTGCGGCCTCTCCCGCTGCGGAGCACAGGCTCCGGATGCGCAGACTCGGCGGCCATGGCTCACGGGCCCAGCCGCTCCGCGGCATGTGGGATCCTCGCGGACCGGGGCACGAACCCGTGTCCCCTGCATCGGCAGGCGGACTCTCAACCACTGTGCCACCAGGGAAGCCCCACACACACTTTTTAAAATTTTAAATGCATGCTCCCCCTCCATCTTGTTCTAGGTCAGGCCTCCGGAACCCCAACACAGAGGCAGCAAGTGTACAGGTTGGCCAGAGAAATGCTACCTGGCCTGACAGAGAGGGGTTTGGCACACACCGAAGGTCCCTTCCCTGCAGCCCCAGCATTCCCCTGGGACCCACACCAGCCTCCCCTCCAGCACTCTTAAGTACGTGTATGCACGTACTTAAAATAGTTCTCTACCTCCATTTACTCGCCCTGATTACCTCTGACAAATCTGAAAATAAACTTTTTTTTCTAAATAGTAATTCACTGCAAGAACTGAAAATAGTTTTACCAGATTCTACCATGAGAAGCACCACTGATACTAAAGTTTTTCCCAAGTGTCAAGAATCAGTAAAGAAATCCAAAATCAGGAGGTGAGCCTCCACGGCTTAGAGCCCGATAAGACAGCAAACATACAGGAACTCGGAACTCGTGCTACAAATGTTACCCTCCACATGTGGTCGTCCTGGAAGCCTGCATACACCTATCACGCTGCTGCTGCTCAAGAAACACTCCCAGAAACTGATGTGTACACCAAACGTGCCTCAGAAGGGCTTTGAGGTTCTTCTAAAAGTCTGAAGATTTTGCCTAGTGTAGTAGGCGGCAAAAGCAATTCCAAATGACGCCCTGCAAACAGGCTCTGAGCGATGGATGGAAAAAGTGACACAGAGCTTCCACGTGGGGCAGGGGAGTGGGTGTATCAAACATAGATTAGAGTGTGACTGCACCTCCCACTGTGAACCTCCTTAAGTCCTGGGGGTGACCATTATACATGTGTTTGTTGAATTCAAGTGGTTTTCATTTTCCTCCCTATACATTTCTCTTTTTTTCCAAATTTTCTTCAACAAGCATCTTTTAGAATATAAACAAAAGAACTTTAAAAAAAAATAATTATGATGTCTTACTTTCCTTTTTTTAGACTTTGCCCCTGTTGCCTTCCTTTGAGAATCTAAGAATATGGTTAGGAAAAAAAAATAAGAGAGAAAAACTATTAATGTACAGCATTACAGCACTGACAGCACTATGGAGGCACCCAAAGCCAAATTCCACCAGATTTAGAACCCAGAAGAAGAGGTTCTACAGCACTGAAAATGTCAATTACTCACTGTATTTTGTGCTTGTTATACGATAAAGCAGGGAGGGAGCGATACAAGGGAGAAAAGGAAATATCTTAGTAATGTCTCATCACTGTCACCATGATATCATAACGTACAACGATGCTGCAAATTCAACAGGTGAGGGATGTGCTGACTGCCTGATCACACTTTATACATTTTATAAAGTCCATATGAAAAAATCATTTATATTTTAAATGCACCACTTAGCATTTAATATGAGAGGATGTTGGAATTGTTTTTTTTGGTAACACAGATATTGATAGTTTGTGTGCTAAGTTGAAAAGTTTACCCAGCAATGTCCTGCAGAGCCCAAATGTCCTATTTCATTTAACCATTTTGTTAGAAAATGATGTATCTTTCCTAAAACAACGTAAAAGTGAGTGGAGTAATCTTTTTCATGAGTTTGAAAGTCTGACACCTACTCAGTGAATGTTTCCTGATTTTAAATTTCGAACAGGCCCAAAGGAATCATTGGCATTTGGGATCAGGTGGGTCTGAGGTCACGGGGATCGGGGGTCAGGGAGATGGTGAGCACACCCAAGCCTAGTTCTTTCTCTTCTTCCCCTGTTAGTGGTCACTGCTGATTCGAACAAGGTTGCTTCCAGCACACTTCAAACTTAACACGTGGGCTTCCCTGGTGGCGCAGTGGTTGAGAGTCCGCCTGCCGATGCAGGGGACACGGGTTCGTGCCATGGTCTGGGAAGATCCCACATGCCGCGGAGCGGCTGGTCCCGTGGGCCGTGGCCGCTGAACCTGCGCGTCCGGAGCCTGTGCTCCGCAACGGGAGGGGCCACAGCAGTGAGAGGCCTGCGTACCGCAAAAAAAAAAACCCAAAAAACAAAAAGACTTAATACGTGTCATGGGCTCTTGGAACCTGGAGGAATAAACCTACTAGAACTGGGTGTAAATTAAGCATTCATACCGTCTGACACACCTGCTAAGGTTTTTCCCACACATCATTTTATATGGCGTTTTTTTGTTTTGTTTTTGCGGGACGCGGGCCTCTCACCGCTGTGGCCTCTCCCGTTGCGCAGCACAGGCTCCGGACGCGCAGGCTCAGCGGCCATGGCTCGCGGGCCCAGCCGCTCCGCGGCATGTGGGATCCTCGCGGACCGGGGCACGAACCCGTGTCCCCTGCATCGGCGGGCAGACTCTCAACCACTGCGCCACCAGGGAAGCCCTATATGGCGTTTTGAGGGACTTTGTGACAACCATGTCAGAGTTGGAAGATATTTTCACTTATTTACTTCCTGGCTCTTGACTGTGTGCTGTGTGATTAAATTCTCTGCAACAGATAAGTGGGTGTTAACTGTATCTGCTTTTCTCTGTGTGGGTGCAGCTATGAATCAAGAAGAAGCACAAATCCAGATTTTTCATACACACAAGGGCTCAAAATGTGTGAATTTATTCTACATTCAATATATGCCTCATATATCCAGGAAATAACATTATTTTTTACATGAGTATTTATAATAACATTGCAAAGATTATATGCATAGGGGGTGAAAACCAGGCACATAATTCAATAAAATCAAAAGCATGTACCCAAGCAGTATAAATCTTTACCCCAAGGAAAACTACAAGACTATTACAGATATTTAAAGGCATTGCCATCCTTTTATTTTTAAGAAATTAACAGATTTAAATTCACTGTCTCTCTCACTCTCGCTCACCCTCTCTCTTTCTTTCAGAATGAGAGAGAAAATGACCAAGCATTAAAAAAATATTTAAGAGAAAAGGGTTAGGGTTAGGGTTAGGGTGAGGGTTAGGAATTACTGGGGCATTTAGTAGTCATTTCTCACTGTTGAGTGTGTTTTGTGAGTTTAAAAGTTAATTCTGAATGAAAGTATGTGATGCATCTTGTAGCACTGTTTACTCGAAGTGTTTATTTATGTCCCAAGGAAATTTATGAATTCCATTTTCTGGAATCAGGTTAAATAGAGAGCCAAAAAATATGGATATGATCTGATTTCATCAAAGACATCTGATTTTAGTTTAAGCATTTTTATTTCTATTTGTTTCCTTCTCGATTTAGTTGAAAATAACTAAAATTACTATTGGTCTCCTGGACCAATAAAGTCTGTGCAAACAATTATACCTCATGTCAGTTATCAGCGGAAATGACACCTCTTAAGCCGCTTTCTGGTAAACGCAATGGAACAGCCCCCTTCCAATTCAAGACACGCTTGACCACAGCTTAACAGTAAAAACGAAGAATAAAAAGCAGGACGAGCATGTCCTTTAACATATGTGGCATCACATGACATTAATCCCAACACACCTCTCAAAAAAAGAAAATGCTTGCCACTCCTCAAACATGGAGTGCTTCCCTTGCATCTCAGCTGGTCGTTTCCATGTGGAAGATCGCAGTATATTCCATCACAAGCCCAAGAAGCTGTCCAAGAAAACCCACAGGATGAGAACAGGCCCGTGTCGCCAGCAGCCGCCATAATTACCCACCTCCCGGTTTATTATTTACACATGAGCAGCACAGCTGCAGAGCCTCGTAACTCAGGGGTATGTGTAATAAGTCACCGCACCGCAGCCATCTCCTGCTCTGGCCCTTGACAAAACACCACATGATGACTTTTCCAAAGTCGGGCAAAAACTGCTGAAGCAGAAGGAAGTGCCACTAAACCTGGCTCCCTCCTATTTATCATACAATTTCCTGACTGATGGTTC